ATATATATTATATATAAAGAAAAAAAAACAATTACCAATTCAGGTGGCATGTTAAATTTATGCATCTGAAGAATGGATTCGCAGACATCTGCTACAAGAGAAGACATTCCTACTTGAATGGCTGGGGAACCTTCACAATCTCCATTTGATCTGTTAGTTGAAATAAGTTTCACCTTCCTAGTAAGAAATAAAATATATCTTGACACCAAATTAAACACCATAAAAAATATATCTTGTAGAAAACAATAAAACATTTAAATGAGCTTGTATTTAAATAAAATAATTTATTATAATTGCAACATACCATTTTTCAGTATCCGCAATAATTCCTACTGCTTCAGTTATTGGCTCACCAAGAACAGGAAACTGAAAAATTTTTTTTTTAATTTTGTAAACTCACATTAGACATATTTCAATGATTTCTTTAAACTTTTGCAAAGAAATTCACAATTCAAACTTGTTCTCTATTATAATGGTTATCCACACAGACAATTGGTGAGATATTTTCAATTTTAGAAATACAGTGGAACTTCGGTATACGACCTTAGTCCATTCCTGATGTTTGGACTTATACCAAACCAACCTTTCCCATAAGAAGTAATGTAAAAATGATTAATCTGTTCTCATGAAAAAAATGTCTGGCTTTAAACACCTCGCTTTCCTGCTTGATTTTTCATGAGATCAGCATGTATCTTTTTAGCTTTCTCTCAAATAATTGCTTCTGATACACTGTCTCTAGCACACTGTTCTTCAGTTATCCAAAGCAAAAGTAATTTCTTAACATGGTTTAATGTCTTCGATCTCTGTTTAGAAATTGATTTAACCCTTTTCGCAATGTTAGCAGATTTAATAATGTCTTTATTTTTCGCGATTGTCGATATCGTCATTCTCGGACTACAGTATGCAACAGTTAAAATCTCGAACACGCGTGCCAGATTCATATTTCTCAACAGTCTTCTTTTTTCAGTTCATTGTGATTATAGTCATTTTTTTTTAGTTTTCTGTTGCTTTTCATTTGCCTTTTTGCAATTCGTGATGAATAAAAATAATAAAATTTTACTTACAAATTAAAATCAGAAGAAATTTAACAAAGTTAAAAACTGTGGCACTGCAAACGTCTAGTCTGGCCTAGTACACCAATAGTGCTACTTGTTCATAGATGGCACGTATAATTGAAGTAAGTCGTATACCGAGCAAAAATTTGTTTTGTCCAAACAGGATGTATTCCAAATTGAACATATTCTAAAGCAGACGTATACCGAGGTACCACTGTATATATATACATATATATATTTATTATTACATATAGTAAGAAAGTATATATATTTTATTTTTTGGGGTCTCCAGAACAAANATACATATATCCATGGAATAGATAATAGAGGTGATCAGTTAACGAACAATTCGCATAGCAAACAAAGTCTTGGAACAGATTTTGTTAACCGATCACCCACTGTAACTGTAATGTGGACCTATTGACAATATCATTCATTGGTTATTATATGAAGTTTTTCCCAAATGAATAATACCCTTTTGTCCTTATATTGGTTTAATATCATTCATTATATCAGTCCATTGGTGTTCATAACTTAAATCTAAGGTTAGTCTTGCAATCTCAGTAGTGTATCTTAAGTGATATTGTCTTGGTGCTCTATTCACTACTCCCAAGCATTCTCATGGTAGCTCTTCTCTATGCATAATTGCTGGTGCTCTGTTATATTTTGAGAGAGAATCTGTATGTGCCTGATCTCTCAAATGTAGCAAAACTATTCTTGTCATTGCAAAGGAGCCTACATAGTAAATATTAATGGTGTGGCGAGTATCACACCATTAATATTTACTATGTTTCTTAACCATATATAACCATTATATTTCTTAAAAATACTAAGATATAATAAGACAGACCCTAAGTAAAAGACTAATACCCGCATATTGTTTTTTTTTGCTTTTGCTAGCCCAAGCTGTAACCAGGAATAACTCTCTTAAAACTTTACAATTGAAATAGTTAAATTTGGTAACTGTATAATCTGTTTTCTGGATTTACACTAAGCAAATACATTTTAGTTTCTCCTTAATTAGTGTAAGATATAACTATCTTGGATGCTAGAAAGAAGCCACCAGGATAACTGAGGGTTGATAAATCAAACTTGTGTTCTACATTTATGGTAATTCCACTGTCTTCTTACTCTATAAAAAAGTTAATGGTTGGGTAAATTGACTATTAGTAGTTGTTCAAAACCACAAATTTTTTGTGTGACCCATTCCAGATGACCAGCACATCACCTACATATTGTAACTATATCAGATAGCCAGTATATATAGAACTTAGAATATCTAACCCTAAGTTTTCTACACTGCAAATGATACATATACAGGAGCCAGTGGTGCAACCAGAGGTGTCAAAGGCTTCTAGTCCTCCTAGTACCCTCAAAGTAAAAAATAAATAAATAAATAAATTTTCCAAAAATCTTTTCCTAATTAAAATTCACTTTTTATATATATTGATTTATTATTTATATACTTATGAATTAGTGGTCACATAAATGGAAATTTTATTGAATTCACATTAGAAGATTTTTATCCATTCAACATGGCTCCCCAAGATTAAATCTTTATGTCAGTAAAGGATCTACTAAGAGAATGCTTGGGAACAGGCTAATAGAACACTGAGAAGATATCACTCATGAAGATACTACTACTGAAATTTCTAGGCAAATTTTAGGTTTTAATTATGAACCCCAATGGACGTAGTCATTAACACACACACACACGATGCAAATATTAGGTGAGACTACATGGAAGGAATGCCTTAACAGGTGATTGTGAAAACATTTGTCTATATTAAAATCTAGTTTGTGCTGGAAATTAAAAGGTTTTTGAGTAACTCTGATTTCAAATCATTCATGTGGAAGCAGATATCCAGAACAAAACAGACAAAAAATAAATTTCATGTGGAGAATGAAAGGGAGTGTAAAAATAACTTTTAAATAGCATGCATAAGTACTATGGTCAGTCTATATTATACAATTATGTGATATAGAATATACAATATAATATATATAATGTAGAAAATTTATCTAATAAATTAGTATATAGATGATTTTAATTATGCATAAAAAATTCTCAACTAACCTCAATTGCAGTTAGTAAGTCATCTCTAATTTCTTCTTCTTTCACGTCACCTTTTATGCCTTGGAGACAAAAATCAGTCATGTAATGATTGGAAGTGCTTGCTAACAAAGACCAACCATAACCACGATACAAACTAGGTCCAGTTTGTACTTCTTTTACCTGAAATCTATTGCAGAAAGCAAAATGATCAGTAGTTCTAATGCATTTTAAAACAAAATATTAAAATTTAAAATGTTTATAAAATAAATATAATAAATTATTGATAGTTAACATAACAGCAATAATGTATTTTATTTTATATACATAAAATACCATTCCAATACAGGATAAAGCTCTCACATAATGAATCTGATATGTAATATATAACTTTTATAGTGACAAGGCTTGGCCATTCTGGTATATATAGCAATGGTCACAATATAGCAGTTAGTATGACTAAAATGTATACCACAGTATTTGAAAAAATCTAATAATTTGTTTGTTAGAAATTGAAATTTTAGTTGTACAAATAAATAAATATATAAGCACAGCTCAAATAAAGAAAAATCATACTCAATACAAACTGCAGAAGAAAATGATAAGGCATTCCACACACACTGTCAGATTGGAACCTTTCTATCCCTAGCAAGATGCTAGGTACCCACTTGGACAGCTGGCTGGGTAGACCAGCAGATTCTGAGAAAATGCAGTAAAGACATTCTGGTAGAAAATTATTTTCTCCACAACTGTCATCCTATCAATAGACCATTACAAGTCACTCATATATAATGAAAAGTTAAAAATATTCGAACTATGTAGCTCTGTAGATAATACCATGAAAGAAAATATCAAATTAGAATATGAGTTAAGTGAAAATGAAGCCTCTTTAGAAGATTTACTTAAAAGGATTGACAGAATTGAACAAATGCTAGTAAGTTTAAATATTTAAAAGAAAATGTTTGTTTATAAAAAATTTACTGACATTTTATAAANTAATAAAAAATTTAATATATTACTACATAAATATTGTTTATATACACATTGCACACTTTCAAAGTTTAGACATATAGATTCTTATAAATATCTATGAGGTATTCAAGAACATATCCAATATTTCCCAACAGTTCATAAATACACGACACACCATTAACACTCGGCTAAGAGTACTTAAAAGATAATGATTTGAAAGTGGGAGAGCATCCAATTATTTTTAATCCCTGGAACTGTTCCCACATACTTATAAGAGAGAGAATGCAAGGTTACAGAACTAGATGATCAGATATCACAGCATACTCTAGCATTCATCAAAGTAAAAAAAAAACCCACCACACTATTCTACAACAACAAACATCACTTCATTCAAATCATTCACTTTCACAATAACTGGAAGAGAAACAGTTCTAAACTGTTTCGAAAAAACCATTTCAATTTATTTTATTAACATAAACTTGTGCCCTTCAAAAGAATTTATAAATATTCATATGAAATTAAAATTTGCTTAATAGTTTTTTACACCTTTTACAACTTGAGTATTTTAAAAAAATTTCTTACATAAGCATTGAGTCTATTCTCCTCTACCCATGCAAACAATTATAAAATTTTCTTTTATCCTCTTCTCTTTCAAATGCTTATGAAATGTTTAATCTTTCAGAAATAAAAATAATTATTGAATTAAAGATGAAATTTTCAAATGGCTATAATTTTAACATCTGACACACAGTACTGATTATTCGTAATTTACATCAGAGTAAAATAGCATATCAACTTATCTTTTCAACATTTCTAGATAAATTATGCAAAAAAAGTTCAATATGTACTGTACATTTATACAGAAACCTAATTTAAATCCATAGATGACAACTTAGCTTGGTATTGATATATGTAAATACATACACAGGTAAATCCTGATATTCATCTTTGGTATTTGCAGTTAAAAAGTTGTAATCGTCTGCATGATTGTTTGCAAAACATTTGCATATCTGAATTGCTTTTACAATATTTCAATTACAATACAGTACCTGAAAAAAAGGTATTCTCTGTTATCTTGAATTTTTATAAATTAGATAGAGTTAGAGAACCTAAAAAATAGGATTTAACAATTTGGAGGGCTTAAATAGAATATGTTTTTGGTGTTTTTGAAAAATTAAAAAAATTAGATATTATTTTAGTACCAAACCATACAAAGAACCATAGCAAAAGTGATTAACAGTATGTATGAAAATAATGAACATAATGATTTAGAAAAAGATAATATAGTTTATTCATTACAGTGCAGTTGTTCACATAAAAAAAGATACATTGATGAACTGGAAGAAAATTAAAGACAAGGATTGAAGAACATATATATGCCATTAAAAACAATTTGTTATCATCATCAGTGGCACAACATTGCAATACTGAAGGTTGTGAAATCTTAAAAGATAGTGCCAAGAGTATTCTGACAGAAAACAATCAATTTAAAAGAAGACTACATGAACACCTAGAAATTCTGAAAATACAAGAAGACATTAGAATTAATAACAATGTGGGACTGAAGCTACATGAGGGATGGATTGACATTGTTTTCACAAAACCTTGAAACAGATGCCGAATAGAAGTGGGAGTATAGTCACATTGCATTGTAAAATGAATTGTAACAAGGCAGTTGTCTCCACACAGCCTTATGGATCAAATGTATCTGTTTTTGTTTAATGCCTGGAAACCAATCATTTTAATAATAGTAAGTTTATTGTTTGTTTCTCCCCTTTTGGTTTTTAATATACTTAACAATATTTATTATTAATAGTGGAACCACCTACCAGAATTTGGAAAATGTTGAAGAAAATAAGACATTTACTGGTCCGAAATAATATGATATATCACATTGTCATTGTATTAAAATATTATGTTCGATAGTTTTAGTTTATTTTTAGTATATGGGTTACATTAAAAATTGTGAATACAGTGCACTGTATATATTAGATATTCCTTTGTATTGGTTAACTAGTGGTGTTATAATTGTTATGTTGTTGCCATGTGTTTGTAAGCTGATGAGGGGTCCTTGTACCCGAAATGCATCCTTACCTAAATTTGAAATGTGATTATTAAAGACTAACCTTTTTGTAAAGTTCTGGTCCTTCTTTCAGTTGTCCTTGGTGTGATAAGCCCTCCAAATTGTTAAATCCTATTTTTTAGGTTATCTAACTATCTAATTTATAATCATGGGCTAAAAGCGTCGTTTATTATTATTGAATTTTTATGTTTTAGATATACATCAAATGATCAATAATTATAATTTATTTAAATTATAATTATTGATTTAGTTAAGAGATGGCACCTAACATCATCTCTACCTCTAGTAACAAATTACTTAGTATTATAAAAATAGCAGATTTACAGCCTGAGTATTTAAGACGATCATTTGACTATGTATATATAAATAGGGCTTCAGGTTTAATACATTTTTATATTTTACTTTTCCAGCTGATATGTATATATAATGAGTGTCGGTTATTATGGTGTCGACTGCAGATGAAATTACGCCCTTGTCCAGCAAAAGTTGTGGGTTTGAGTCCCGCTTTGGGCCGATTCTTATATTCCAGTTTAATCTAAATTATTTAATTAAATATTATAATTATTAATTTTAATATGAGATGGCACATAACGCTTCCTTCTAGTGTCAAATTCATTTGTAATTCATTATTTCAAAATCATTATTTCCAAATTATAGCCCTATTATTTACAGCAGTTGTGGATATCTATTTACTACACATTGGGTTTCAGCTGGTATGTATATTTGTATATCTATGTCTTGCTGGGTATGCGATGGCCAACTTAGTGCCTTGATGGATGTTTCTATATAATGAGCAATTATTTATTGTGACATTGTCACAATGCTGGGCTGCAATTTTTCAATCATATCTTTAATTTATTTTATTTAAAATATATGCTCTCCACTTCAAATTAGTAGTAGAGTACATCATACTTTTCCTTTAACAATAGAGTCAGTCATCTATTAACTGCTTTTGAGGTAAAGTTTTGAATTAAAATAATGTGACTTATGGTTTGCATCAGAAGTACAGGTACTGTACATATATAGTTAATTGAGGCCTCCCATCATTAAGGTTTCCATATCTAATCCTGTCTTTCGTCTTTCTAACTCCATTCTAGAGATTAAGGAAAGACTGATGGACAGACAGGCAAATGACAGTGGGAATTTATAGCTCTACAATTTTTTCAAATTGCAGTCCAACAAGGGAAAGTATAGGAATCATGTCAAACTTGACCACCTGACTTTTTTTGCAAATCTCCATGTTTTGAGATTTCCTGAAGCCAAAAAGTCAAAAAATGGTAGAAATAATTCCATCAATATATATACCTCATACATACATATATCCATGGAATAGATAATAGAGGTGATCAGTTAACGAACAGTTCAGACTGCGAACCAATCGAAGTTTCACGAAAGATTTTTTATATTCAAACAACAAACACCTGTTCGGATAATGAACACCTGATAGAACAAATACAAGAAGCGACGCAGCATTTAAGATTTGTAAAACTATATTTTAATGGCATCTATACATGATTTATGGAACAAGACTTTCACAGATGTATATATAACCTTTTTTGCATTAGTTAATTTCTGTTCTCTGAATTTTTGTAAGTGTTTTTCTGAATTTTTATTTAAAAAATCTGATATTATAAGGCATAAAAAGAGTGGAATGTCAAGAACTGTGTTCACTATAGAAACTAAGCAAGAGATAACAGCCAAGGTAAAGAGTGGGCAGATGTCTGATAGTATAGGCAGATGACTTCAACAGGTTTACAATAGATACAATCTTAGCTAAGAATGATATAATCAAAAAGACTCAAGCAGATAAAGGAGTAACAAGCATTGCATCTGAGAAACAAAGATGTGCCATCCATGAAAAAGTGAACAGATTGCTTTTAGTTTGTTATTATATGTAAACATAGTAAAGAAGTATAAAATTATTCATTTATTTTTTAGGGTCTCCAGAACAAATTAATCAAATTCCCACAAAAATCTATGGTAAATCGATAATAGGTTAACAAACAATTCAGATAGCGAACACAGTCTTGGAAAGATTATATGCTTAATGCATAATGCTGATCACTGTGTGTGTGTGTGTGTGTGTTATTTCATTTAATATCTCATAATGTAGTAAACAAATGAAATTTGGCACAGAAACTTGTGTATAAGAAGAGGTATTAATGCTATTAAATTTTAGCAGTGAAAGGTCAAGAGGGTGGGGAGTTAGAGGGGAGTCATGTGTTATATCTCAAGAGGAGGAGGACTTAATGAGGATTTTATTTGTTGTTAACATTTACACTTTTCTATAAAACTCATCCCTATCCTCAAAATTAAGCTTTTTGCCATTTCATAGTAATTAAAATTATAAAAACTTTTTATACCAAAATTTCAAAACAGCTGGCACAACACAAATTGTTATTTATTTTGCTTAATAATATAAAAGTTATTTAAAAAAAAAAAATCATAACTGGGAAAGTTACAGAACTCTTTTTGCTGAACTTTTTGACATAACCAAGCAAAGTACAGTAACTATTAAAACTCAGTTTCAGTTGTTGTATTGAGGAAACTTCAGTTTGGTGGACACTAAACAATCCTTTGAAGAAAATTAATCCTAACTGTACCAAACTGAAGTTTCCCCACTACAGCAACAATGCCTTTTGCCAAATCATATATGACAAACGTTTATACCACAATTATGAAGATACAGTATATTCAGTAATTACATACTCCCATACAATACTAATGATAATCCTATATAATATATTAAGACCCCGCTTAATGCTGCCTCACTTAACGCTGATTCGATATAATGCAGTCTGCTCAAAGCCTAAAAAAAGCTCAAAATTTACACCAATTTAAATTATCATGGCATTTCATTGATTCATATATAATACAATTATTTACAAACACGAACCAATCAGAAAAAGATAGCAAAAAGGTGTACTTTTTTTAAATCCATGTTTGTTTGGTTCAATTTTGGAAAAAAATATATCATCATGGATGCCATAGGCAATATTGGCTTCACTTGGCAAGAATTAACTGATAAATGCATGAATGAAGTATTGAAGAAGTTATGGCTAAAGGTATCCAAGAATTCTCAATGAGAAGAGCTTATCACTGTATCATTAGGTTGACTAAATTGTCAACATAATCGATACAGCAGGACTAGGAAATGTAGACGAGCAGGATATTGAGGAGTTACCGCAGGTTTCTGGTGAGAGTTTTACCGACAATGACCTTCAAGAACTGGCAGAACAAGGAATTCACGTAGAACTGGAAAACAGTGATTCTGAAAACAAAGAACCCAAAAAATTTCTCTACAGATTTCCTTAGTAAAAATTTGGTAACAATAACCGAAATTGTAAATCAAATTGTAGCAAATGATCCAGATTTTGAAAGGAGTGCAAAAGCAAACTGGGGCATTTTGGATGAGATCTTCTGCTACTGACATTTGCTTAAGGAAAGAAAAAAGTGACAAATGAAACATTGTGACTTTATTGCAAAAAAAAACAAGAATTTCAGAAAAGTCAGGAACTTCATCACAAAAAATGAACAATACATTTCTGTGTGCATATGTTTATGTGTTATTTAACATATATTATTATGCAAATCAATATAAAAACTTTAATTTTAAGTAAAATTTGTTTATTTTTGGTCGCTTGTTCCCATATCCCTATTTACTCTATGTTAAAATGACCTCATTTAACGCTGTTTCGTTTAGCACTTTGTAGTCTAGGAACGCATCCCCGCGTTAAGTGGGGTCTTACTGTAATGCAGAAAACCCCCACTAACTCAGACTAATAGGGGGTTAAGGCTGTCACAGTTATTGTAGTGGAGTGTTTTCTCTGATGCATGTGGAAAACAAGGACATGGATATACAGAATCAGCTCTATATAGAAGTTATACCCAGCTTTTCTAGGTTACTGCTGAATTTATTATTACAGGAAATGTTAGACAACAAAGATGCAGTTAGCCAGGTGAAGGCAGCTAAAAGGTTCAATTGTCATCAAACAGACATAGGTAAGGCACTGAAGAGACAGACATAGGTAAGGCACTGAAGAGGGGCATAAAGTAGAGTGCCTCAGAGTACACTGTTGAAAAAGTTTCTGAAATTCAAAAGCAATGCAGATGGCTTGTAAGAAATTTTGGAAACAAAAGAAGGTTCGTTTTGACCGAAAAGAAGTACTCCAGCATGCAAATACCAGGGAATAAAATTTACTATTCAAGCAATGAAAATCAAGCACCTCCCAAAATGAAGTACAAATTTATAAAAAAATTTGAAGCAAAACTCAAGCTGTACATTATCATTTCATCAGCCAGTGTTTCAAAGCCATTATTTAAGAAGGGATCTTTTGCAATTGATGCAGACATGTACCAAAATGAATATCAGTCAAATTTACCTTAGGTAGCCAAAATGGTGGTACTTTGGTTAGGTTTGTTTCCGTTAGATTAGCTACATTTTTAGTAGACATTTTCTTTTTTTTTTATTATTTATTTTGTTCAAGAACTACCGTGAATCAATAAATAGTGACATTTGGCACTCGGCGGCTCCTCTCTGAGAGGAGTCCGTCTGGACCACAAACAGTTGAAAGCTTGGCCATGTTAGCTACCTAAGGTAAATCTAACTTGAATATCTAAAGAAAATTCTAATCCCTTTACTTAACAAGCATCATCAAGATGACTATTTTGTCTTTTGGCCTGACAAAGTTTCATCTCACTATGCAAATTCAATCATGGAGTTCCTCAAAGCCAAAAACATTCCTTCCATGTTCAAACAGCATTCAGTCAAATTTGCCACAACGCCAGCTAATTAAGGATTTCTTTGGATAGTTGGTCAAATAGTATACAAGAAAGGTTGGCAAGAAAAAGAATACCACACAAGATCCATAGAAGTAGACTTTCACTTTAAAAAATTCAGACATCCAACGATTGTCTAAATGATCGGGCTATGATTCAACTAATTTAAATAATTAATACAAAATAATTTGCCACTAGAGATAGGTGTTAGATGCCATCTCTTAAATTAATAATTTAGTTAAAAGATGGCACCTAACTACCTATCAGGATGGGGTTTTCTGTATTATTAAATAGGATTATCATTAGTATTGTATGGGAATATGTAATTACTGAATATACCATATTTTCATCTCTAGTGGCAAATTAGCTCAGGCCTGGCCAATCCGCGGCCCGTCACGTTAAATTGTGTGGCCCGCTAAGCAATATTGTATACCTATTAAAACTTTTGTTTCCCATTATGTGTATACCAAAACAATTAAATAAATGAAAATTTGCATGTGTCATTGTTATAATGTGCAAGTGTGAGTACAAACTCTTGGTATAACAATAAAATCTTATTCATTTTGTATTTGTTTTACTTTTTTAAAGTCATGCTTGCCTAAATTGTGGCCCACTGTAATGTTACGCATGATCAAAGTGGCCTGCAAAACAATTTGGGTTGGCCAGGCCTGAATTAGCTAAATTGTAGCCCGATCATTTAGGCCAGTGTTTCTCAACATCTAACAAATCATCGCTCCCTTCACTATAAAATTCCGATGCCGAGGGACAAGGCTAATGCCAAATTCGTACTGCATCGAATAGACTAGTGACTAGTATAATGTTATTTGTTTAATTGTTGTACAATATAAAGAATAAAATATCTAATTATTCTTAATATAATGTTTTACTATATCGCCCAGAAAATTGTTTTTCACCCCCCAAAATATAAATTGTTACTAATCGCCCCCTCAACATGGAAAAACGCCCACATGTGGGCGATATCGCCCCCGTTGAGAAACACTGATTTAGGTAACCATTGGATGTTTCTATATATATACTCATTGGGCTTTGCAATATTTGTTATAAATAAATGCTTACTGGAATTAATTAAATAAAATAAACAAACACATTTCTCTGTTCCAGTATGGTTATATGGTTCGAATTTGAACTGAAGATCGCTTAAAACAGTCAAAAACGTTTTTAACATATTAAACGCTGTGCTGGAATAGAGAAAGGTGTTTGTTTATTTTAATATTTGTTATATTTAAAAATTTGACACACAGGCCATCCAAAGGATTTGTGAGTCTATCAAAACAAACAGTGTCACCAAATTTGGGCCATATGATTGTGTTCATTAATACTATACTAATGTAAATAAAATTTCTTTTAAAATGATATATAATATTGAATTACTTCAATTTTTAAATAAAATATTATGCTTTAAAAAACAGTCCAGAGTTTTTGTTTCACCCCATTATAACTTCAAATCAATTAATAAGATATTGAACATTAATTTAAATATATTTTCTTTTCACAATTAACTAGATTTATGTCATAGTTTTAATACTTAATACATTCTTAATAAAAGTACATAAAATTAATAATCATTGGAATAACCTTGTCATAAAGTGATTATAAACTTAGAAACTGTAAAGTCACATGCATCAAAGTGATACTTAGACATGACTTATTTCTTTAATATTAAAAAATTAAACACATTTTTTAATACTTACTTTGGCAGTTGCAATTCAGTCATTTTTTTCAACACATTTTTATTTTCTGACAAATGTCTCCTACGATGTTTCGGCACTGTAACTTTTGTTTCCTCCATGCTGTGATAACCTTCTTCGGGTCCGTCGTCTGACGATTTAGATGCATCATTCAAATCAGATTTGTCCCATTTTTCCAAATCAATATTTGCCTCTGAACATTGCATTTTCTCCATCACATCAACAGTGCCATTATAATTAGTGTAACAGTCTGAATCTAAATTTGTCTGACACAAATATAATTTATTTTCGTGTAGTTTTGAACAGTTTCTACTTTCATTAAAATCGGCTTTTTCCAAAGTAACCGTTGGTATAAATTCATTTTCTTCTTCATAATTATAACTGTTGACATCCACTATTAACAAATCACTATTTTTAGATTGCAAATTGTAATTCCACGATTGTTTAGATAAGTGTTTTTCATCCTGTTGGTCATCCATACTACTATAACCAAGACTATCCAAAAAGGAGTCTGGTTTATGTAAATCAGTAAACTTTGGAAGAATTTCAGCTTTATGATTAGTAGAATTATCAACAAAAGAATTATCACATAATAAATTCTCATCTAACGAAAAAACGGTATCTTCAGTATTATTTTGAAAAAAATTATCAGATGTGTCGACACTATTAAAATTACGAGGTTTCGTGTCATGTTCTGTTTCAAAATCATATTTGGGTCGAAAGTGTTTCCAGTTGGTTTCTTTAGATCTGTACTGATCATATTCATTTTCTAATGATAAATTAAAATTCTTTTGAGTATTTTGTGTCCATTTATTAAAAGTATGTTGTAAAGAATATTTTCTTTTTGGAAGATAAGAATTAAACATCTGTTTCTTCTTTTCATCTGTAATATTTGAAGATGCTTCCAAATTGGCACTCTCCAAACTAGAAAAAGAATTTTGACATTTATTACATTTTAGAATTAGAATAAATACAATTAATCCTCAAAAATTTATAATTCACAGTTTTTAATAAGCCAAATATATTATCATTGCATTTTATATTTTTTTCCCTATTTTTACAACAATGCAACATACATGAAGTAATAGTAATTTAAAAACCAAAAAGAAATTTAATAAAAAACTAACAGATGTCATTTTTACAATAATTTACAATCTAAAAACTAACAACAAAAGGTTACTTACAGATTATATTCCATTATAAATACTTTTATATTTAATTTATTTTTGTAGTTTATTCCTTATGCTAAATTTTAAAAATTCTTAAAGAACAAACTATGACAGTCACATTGTTGGCAGATTTTTCTTTTATTGCTTTACTAGACAATTGCCAGAATCTAACTTTTTAAAGTAAAACTTTAAAGACATTTAAAGAGTTTTTAATTATTATTTAATTATTTTATTTAAAATTATTAATAAAAAAGATTATCATCTTAAATGATCTAATAAACCTAACAACTGCCAATATCATTTTTGGAAAAATCTGGCTTTGGAAATTTCTTCAAGAAAACCTCAAACAGTTTCACTTCAATTCTTTTTACCTCTTTGTCCTCACTTTTTACATTTCTGTGTATATATTGTCTACTTGAAGTTTGTTTATTAATTGGACTTATTATACTGATGAAATTTCCAATTAGCAATGAGACAAAATCTTAGTCAAAAGTCAAAACAAAGTATCAGGTGAAAATAAAGATATTTTGTTTTTACTTTTGACTAAGATTTCCTCTCACTGCTAATTGAAAACTTCACCAGTATATAAAGTCCTATTAATAAACAATATATACATAGAAAAGTTCCACTTCATTTAAAAATAATCCATAAAATAAAATGGAATAATTATTCCAGTAAATTTATTCAGATGCTATTTATAATGTTAAATGAAAAAAAACTAATTTGTTTCAAATAAAAGTGAAAATTGTACATTAGATTTTGAATATACACTTTCTTTTTTCAATGCACTAGCTGGATATCTTTATATATTGATTTCATAAATACATTTAAAAAATAATAATCATCATCATTAATTATTACTTTCCTATTAATTTATTTAAAAATTTACATAAAGAAAAGTATTATAAATTTGCAAAATAAATAATATTAATGAAACAAAAAATTTCTGTTCAAGAATTCATTAGAGCATAATTAATTGCATTAAATTAAAATGTCCAAAATTTATTTTATTCTAAAAATATTAAGTAATTTTGGCAATATCTGGAATTTAATAATTATTATAATGGGATCTAACAACAACTAAACAAGTAACCTACCCTATGTCTTTTGCTGAAAGAGGCGTGAGATTTTCTGCAGTAATAATGGATTTTTCAAATACGTGTTCCCAAATTCCACTACAGCGAATGAAATAACTTAATATAAATAAGAAACTGTTTATTGTATCACAGTTTGTTCCCGTGACGATCGTGCGGGCAAGCTTGTTGGGAAAACCGAGACACCCATACATATCCCTGCAAAAATGTTGAAGTCTTAATTTCTTTGTTACTGTTTGTATCTTTCAATTATTATTATCATTATTACTTACCCAAGTTGCATCCACAGAGGATTATAAGGATGAGATTTAGCTAACATTTCTAGCTATTAATTGAAAAATTACAATAAATAATTTATATGAGATAAAACATTTAAACTTTTTATATAATGATTAAGAAAATAAGCAATTAAAAAATTCAACTTTTTATTAAATGAATCACACATTATTTAGTTAGAAATTTTTGCAATTGCAAATAAAAATAAATAATAAAATGATTTAAAATATTTAAATAACAACTTTATAATTAAAATGGCATTCAAAGACAATAATATAATGTGCACACATTCTTTTCTTTATAAGCAAAATTAGTTACTAATGTGTAAATGTCTACTAGAGCAGTTTTAAAAACATGACTAAATGTGATAGAGTTTTAAATGTAGATTTCAAAAAGATCTAGACTTGGTCCATTGTCTTGTAGTTAAAGCTGTACGTTTAAGTAGAAATAAATTAATACTAATAATGCATTCAAAAGATGTAGATTTAGGTAGATCTAAATTATTAAGAAGTGGGACATTACACTTGCAGTTTAAAGCTGTATTATGTCCATATTATATTTATGTATAATTACTGATGTAAATGTAAAAATAATCCTCATTTAACTAAAAGCTTGGTTTTATGTTTGATATGAATTAATACATGTATGAAAATAGCATATATTTACATTTAAATACTTTTCTATTTTAAAATAAACATTTAATATATATATAATATCGTTATTTAAAATATTTTATACCAGAAATTACATTTTTCTTATATAACAGATTTAAACTTACCCACTGTGCAACATTTTTATGATTTCCGATATCCTCTGCCAGAACGTCTGAGGGAGTCACGGTTGGCACCCAAGCCAAATGATGTGTTAGAACGGCACTCAATAAAGTGCTGACAAAACTAAAAAAAAAAAATTGAATTGCTTACTAAGAAATGTCAACAATATAAATGAGGAGTTCATATAAGTTTTTAAATAATAAAAGATTTTATTATTATTTTTTAATTAAAAAATAAAAAAAACTTGAGCAATCATCCACAATAATTATGTATATACATCAGTTTCAGTAAAGCTTGATTAACATTTCTGTAATTGCATTTTTTATATTAAATAATACAATTTTAGTTGCTGTTCATGATTAAATTCATTTTATATTTTGATTTGATTTATTTTCATACAACAAAATAAAAATCAAAACAGCAAAAGTTTTTTGAAAATGTGTGGCTTGAAAAACTTTTTAATATCCATTTTACTGATTCTACAAAGATTTTCAAAACTAATCTTTATGAAATACAAAATTCCTGCAGTTCACATTTCAGATGTATATTGAAACAGTTTATTGTCCAAAAAACCATTTTTGATGACTTTCTTTTTTTGAATTATTCAAAATTTTTGCTTCTTACAGTTATTATCTATTTTTCCAGAATGTAAAAAAATGAAATGTTTTGATTAAGTTTATTAAAACTGATTGATTAAAATGTATATAATGAATAAACTTTAATAATTGAACTGAAAAAGAAAAAATTAACAAATTTTATAATTTTCACAAATAATGTTTTCACTGATAAATGAGAACACTTTCTAAAATAAATGCCTCTTTAATGATTTCCTTATATCAAGCATTATTTAGTTATAATCATCCAAGTAAATGAGGTTTTGTCTACTGACAATATCTTAATTGTTTATTGAAGCAAACGTTTTCAGATTTAACAATCAAACTTTTCAAGTACAGAACAGCTTCAACTAAGTTCCTCAAGTCTAGATCAGAACATGTTTCTATTATTTATATTCATAAAGTTTAAGTTTAGATAACTTAAGTAACGAACTTAATTTCTACACTTCCAAAATAAGTTATAAAATTCCCTTAAAGCTATTCTCAAAGCTAAGGTCTTTATGAAGGATTATTAAGCTCAAATGTTTACAGTAAATTTCAGTTCATGTTATTTTGCTTCAATAAAAAAAATTAACTAATGTTTTAAGTAAAGGATTTTTTCATTTATTTTGTTAGAACAATGATGAGGCAGTCCTTTAACTTAGAATTAAATTTTATTCTAATCTAAGACTATACATGCACTTGTTCACACACCCGTAACTTGGTGGGTTACACGGGTATTGCCAGTTCATAGACAGTTTGCAATTTCGACACTTGCTTTAGTTTAGTATTTCCTAACATATTTAAATTTATTTATTATTAAATGTATTGAGAATACAAATTGTTTAAGTTCTTTGAACATTGAAATCTTTCTGTACATTTCAATGTTTAAATATGTATGTATTTCATGTACAAATCAAAGACAAATACAAATGATGATTATTTATATCTTGGATTTTGAATCATCAATTTGATTTAACCAAACTATAATAATAAATTTATTTTGGTTTCCTTATCCTTTGCAATGTTCAGTTTAAAATAAAAATTAAAATTATTTATACATTACTATTGGGTTGTTTGGAAAGTAAGTTCATTTTTTTTCTGTGAAAAAAACAATATTTTTATAATAAATAAATATTTTATTCAATTATATATCAACCATTTTGGTCAAATACCTGTTGTCATCGTTTCTGGTAGTAGCATGATTTCACATTTATAAAAGTTTTTATAGTTGCTTACAAAAAACTTATCCAAGTGATTTTTGACATTGTCATTTCAAGTAAATGTCTTACAGTTAAAAAAAATTTGTATCTGGATCTCGATCTCTTTGTATCTCGATCTGGCAAATATGGTTGGCGCGATAGCACGTCCCATCTAAGTTATAATAGTTTCTGATGAGTTACCAAACTTGTGCGAAATTTGACATTATCATGGTAAAACACTACACTTGTTTTGTTGATCAATTCTGGCCACCTTTTCTGTTTTATGATATTACTCTATTTGTTTATTCGATGGCAGTACACTTTCAATCAATTGTTAAATTGTCTGGTAAAAGCTCAAAAAAAAATTTCCTTAAAATTCCACCAGAGAGAGCATCTCTCTCTAAGAACGTGTGGCAATCATATATTGAGCTTTGAAACGAAACCAATTTGTTTCAAGTAACCATAAAGAGTTTAATTTGACAGATTTAATCTCTTAGTGATTTCACGTGTTGTTATTCGGCAGTTTGCTTCAATCAGTGCTTTTATTTTGTTTTCATTGGCTTCAACTGGCCATCCAGAACGTGATGCATCTTCAATATCGAAATTGCCAGAACAAAATTTTGTAAACCAGTTTTGGCACTGTCGTTCTGTCAACACATCTCCATACATGTACCACAATTTTTTCCTTGTTTGAACAGCATTTTGATTTTTTGATAATAAAAAAGCAAAATATGCCAAAAATGATGCTTTCGATCTCCATGTTTGATGGGACACAAAAAATAAACAATTGAACAAAATCAAACAAAATTTTTTACAAATAAGCCTTAAAATGCTAGCTGTCAAAATATATATATATATATAGATAATACGATTTAGAATGAAAATGGAGGGGAAAAAATAGACTAATCCGTCTAGTGGTAAAAAAACAAACTTACTTTCTGAACAACCTAATAGATTATACTTTGCTCTTCTAGATTGAAAAAAGTTTGAATTTTAAGAAAATCTTAGAATAGAAATAAGGTGAAACAAAACATTTTAACTTATTAAATATANCGTTTCTGGTAGTAGCATGATTTCACATTTATAAAAGTTTTTATAGTTGCTTACAAAAAACTTATCCAAGTGATTTTTGACATTGTCATTTCAAGTAAATGTCTTACAGTTAAAAAAAATTTGTATCTGGATCTCGATCTCTTTGTATCTCGATCTGGCAAATATGGTTGGCGCGATAGCACGTCCCATCTAAGTTATAATAGTTTCTGATGAGTTACCAAACTTGTGCGAAATTTGACATTATCATGGTAAAACACTACACTTGTTTTGTTGATCAATTCTGGCCACCTTTTCTGTTTTATGATATTACTCTATTTGTTTATTCGATGGCAGTACACTTTCAATCAATTGTTAAATTGTCTGGTAAAAGCTCAAAAAAAAATTTCCTTAAAATTCCACCAGAGAGAGCATCTCTCTCTAAGAACGTGTGGCAATCATATATTGAGCTTTGAAACGAAACCAATTTGTTTCAAGTAACCATAAAGAGTTTAATTTGACAGATTTAATCTCTTAGTGATTTCACGTGTTGTTATTCGGCAGTTTGCTTCAATCAGTGCTTTTATTTTGTTTTCATTGGCTTCAACTGGCCATCCAGAACGTGATGCATCTTCAATATCGAAATTGCCAGAACAAAATTTTGTAAACCAGTTTTGGCACTGTCGTTCTGTCAACACATCTCCATACATGTACCACAATTTTTTCCTTGTTTGAACAGCATTTTGATTTTTTGATAATAAAAAAGCAAAATATGCCAAAAATGATGCTTTCGATCTCCATGTTTGATGGGACACAAAAAATAAACAATTGAACAAAATCAAACAAAATTTTTTACAAATAAGCCTTAAAATGCTAGCTGTCAAAATATATATATATATATAGATAATACGATTTAGAATGAAAATGGAGGGGAAAAAATAGACTAATCCGTCTAGTGGTAAAAAAACAAACTTACTTTCTGAACAACCTAATAGATTATACTTTGCTCTTCTAGATTGAAAAAAGTTTGAATTTTAAGAAAATCTTAGAATAGAAATAAGGTGAAACAAAACATTTTAACTTATTAAATATAATATATTAAAAATCAACTTACAAATTAGTTTCCTTTCTTTCATATTTATCTAACAACAAAACAAACTGACTAATAAATTTATAACACAAATGACGATGGTTCATCTCCGGAAGCATTCTCGTTAACCAAAACGGAGAAGATAATCTAGGAGCAGTATAGAGATCTTGCAAACTTCGATGAAATTTTTTGATACCCTGAAAAAATTTTCCTTTATTTAAAATACAACAAACTGAATCAACTATTTAATACATTATGATAATCAAAAATGTCAGGCTTATAATTTTTGATGATAATAAGGAAAAGAAATTTTATAGCACCAATACATTTTCAATACCTTTAAAATGAAATAATGTAATTCTAGAATTTTTAGAAATAAGAAGTGAAAAAAATTATCAAGATTTAACTTTTATTTTCATTTAATATATTCTTTAATTGATTGTGATGACAGAATTTCAGTACATTCCACTTTCTAAAACAATTATAAAAGTTATACACACACACAATAATGAAGACAAGCAATTAAAGTATGCAATGTATAATTAAGTTTTTTTTTTCTAAAACTGTATATACTTAATTTATCTAATTAGTAGTAAACTAATATAAAATTATTTACTATATAGTTTCGGATATTAAAAAAAAAATAATAATTTCACCAAACAATCACCTAAATATCGGGCTATAATATGGCTAATTAAATGACTGGTATAAGGTAATTTGACACTAGAAGTAGATGTTAGGCGCCATCTCTTAAGTAAATGAATAATTATAAATAAATAAATAAATTATTAAATAAATTTAGAACCTTCTGGAATAAGGTTAGGTTATATCTAATTTAATATACTTCTGGAAGCGAAGGCTCGCTCGGGGTCCGAGTGGCGTAACTGGCAAGTGCACTGCACGGCAAGCGGAGGTTGCAGGTTCAAGCCCCGTCCTGGGCCAGTTCTTTTATTCCAGATGTTCTAAATTTATTTAATAATTTATTTATTTAATTATAATTATTAATTTACTTAAGAGATGGCACCTAACGTCTACCTCTAGTGTCAAATTACTTTATACCAATCATTTAATTAGCCATATTATAGCCCAATATTTAGGCAATCATTTCGTGATTCATTGTATACTACTTAGGCTTTGCGATGTTATTATTTGTAACAATAATTTCTTTAAATGTACAGATATACTATTTATTTCCAATTACTTACCTCACAAGTTAGGATAACGGACATTTTCCTATTCAAATAAGCTTTCGAAATAGAATTTTTCAGTCGGAGTACGTGACCTTCGATTATTGTTACATGCGAGAAAAAGAATTCGTGAAACCGACTGCAAGAATAAAGAAAATTTTGAATTTTAAAATAAAGAATAATTTCTATTATTTAAACACAATCAAAAATTTAAATTCAAAATTAAATCACACTAATACATTAGTGATTAAATTAATAAACCAATTTTCAAAAATTTGATGGCAGAAGTATTTTCTATCATTTTTATATTTTCCAAAATTAATTTTAATAAAATAATCTAAATTTAAACATCTTAAAAAAACAAATATTTAATTTTGCTACTACATGAGCAATTTTAGGTTGTCACTAAAAATCATTCAACAGATTGAAAATACTCTCTCATTACATTCTTTAAATTAATTCCTTAAATAATAGTTTGTTATTTACAATATTATTATTTTTAAATAAATGAAATTTGTGCAAACAATTTAAAATAACATTACTCATATTTATATTTAATACAGTATTTTGATTTAAAAACAAATAATTTTTAAAAGGTTTTTCAAATGATCTATATTCCCAAAGGAAAATATTAACTTAAACATCAATAATTTGCATTATGAAATTAAAAGGTGTTTTTAATCAGATCCATGCATTTTAATGTTTTGCAGATAAATACACTATGTTATATGACATAATGAATAAGGTCAATATGAGAGTATATTCTTTTTATTAAATTATCAATCATTGTCAGAAATTTATTAAGAAACACTTTTTTCTTTACAGAAATATCTACAAATGTTAATTATTATTATGTAAAAATTTTTCAACTATATTCTTTGCTTATCACAAAACTATTAGTAAATTAAGATTATTATATAATACTTAAAATAATCAAATGCTACATACAGGACTTCCAAACAAATGGTATCTTAAATTTCTGACATTTGAAAATAAATCTGAATGACTTATAAACAGATTCTTCTAATACAAAAATAACATTTTTTATATTTATTTATTGATGAATTATTTATTGATATTGTTTTTGGTAAATGAGAATTATAAAATTACTAAATAATGTATATAATTAAGTTATTATTTAGTAAATTTTTATTGTATTATCTGTTATAATTATATCTTATTAATATTCTAAAGTTGTTGTTAAAGTTTGTAAAGATATAAAATTCAGATATTCCATAAATAAAACATACACAGGCAATTTCAAATATATCATGAATAATGAACTTTAATGTTACAGAGAATGAGGAAGAAAAAATTTAAGATTTTATACATGAATAAATTCATCATATATGCATGTACTGTACATTGATATTAAACAGAGTGCATATTTTTCTATAATAAAAATTCAGAAATATAAAATTTAAATCTGTTATACCCTAGTGGTAAAAAAACAAACTTACTTTCTGAACAACCTAATAGATTATACTTTGCTCTTCTAGATTGAAAAAAGTTTGAATTTTAAGAAAATCTTAGAATAGAAATAAGGTGAAACAAAACATTTTAACTTATTAAATATAATATATTAAAAATCAACTTACAAATTAGTTTCCTTTCTTTCATATTTATCTAACAACAAAACAAACTGACTAATAAATTTATAACACAAATGACGATGGTTCATCTCCGGAAGCATTCTCGTTAACCAAAACGGAGAAGATAATCTAGGAGCAGTATAGAGATCTTGCAAACTTCGATGAAATTTTTTGATACCCTGAAAAAATTTTCCTTTATTTAAAATACAACAAACTGAATCAACTATTTAATACATTATGATAATCAAAAATGTCAGGCTTATAATTTTTGATGATAATAAGGAAAAGAAATTTTATAGCACCAATACATTTTCAATACCTTTAAAATGAAATAATGTAATTCTAGAATTTTTAGAAATAAGAAGTGAAAAAAATTATCAAGATTTAACTTTTATTTTCATTTAATATATTCTTTAATTGATTGTGATGACAGAATTTCAGTACATTCCACTTTCTAAAACAATTATAAAAGTTATACACACACACAATAATGAAGACAAGCAATTAAAGTATGCAATGTATAATTAAGTTTTTTTTTTCTAAAACTGTATATACTTAATTTATCTAATTAGTAGTAAACTAATATAAAATTATTTACTATATAGTTTCGGATATTAAAAAAAAAATAATAATTTCACCAAACAATCACCTAAATATCGGGCTATAATATGGCTAATTAAATGACTGGTATAAGGTAATTTGACACTAGAAGTAGATGTTAGGCGCCATCTCTTAAGTAAATGAATAATTATAAATAAATAAATAAATTATTAAATAAATTTAGAACCTTCTGGAATAAGGTTAGGTTATATCTAATTTAATATACTTCTGGAAGCGAAGGCTCGCTCGGGGTCCGAGTGGCGTAACTGGCAAGTGCACTGCACGGCAAGCGGAGGTTGCAGGTTCAAGCCCCGTCCTGGGCCAGTTCTTTTATTCCAGATGTTCTAAATTTATTTAATAATTTATTTATTTAATTATAATTATTAATTTACTTAAGAGATGGCACCTAACGTCTACCTCTAGTGTCAAATTACTTTATACCAATCATTTAATTAGCCATATTATAGCCCAATATTTAGGCAATCATTTCGTGATTCATTGTATACTACTTAGGCTTTGCGATGTTATTATTTGTAACAATAATTTCTTTAAATGTACAGATATACTATTTATTTCCAATTACTTACCTCACAAGTTAGGATAACGGACATTTTCCTATTCAAATAAGCTTTCGAAATAGAATTTTTCAGTCGGAGTACGTGACCTTCGATTATTGTTACATGCGAGAAAAAGAATTCGTGAAACCGACTGCAAGAATAAAGAAAATTTTGAATTTTAAAATAAAGAATAATTTCTATTATTTAAACACAATCAAAAATTTAAATTCAAAATTAAATCACACTAATACATTAGTGATTAAATTAATAAACCAATTTTCAAAAATTTGATGGCAGAAGTATTTTCTATCATTTTTATATTTTCCAAAATTAATTTTAATAAAATAATCTAAATTTAAACATCTTAAAAAAACAAATATTTAATTTTGCTACTACATGAGCAATTTTAGGTTGTCACTAAAAATCATTCAACAGATTGAAAATACTCTCTCATTACATTCTTTAAATTAATTCCTTAAATAATAGTTTGTTATTTACAATATTATTATTTTTAAATAAATGAAATTTGTGCAAACAATTTAAAATAACATTACTCATATTTATATTTAATACAGTATTTTGATTTAAAAACAAATAATTTTTAAAAGGTTTTTCAAATGATCTATATTCCCAAAGGAAAATATTAACTTAAACATCAATAATTTGCATTATGAAATTAAAAGGTGTTTTTAATCAGATCCATGCATTTTAATGTTTTGCAGATAAATACACTATGTTATATGACATAATGAATAAGGTCAATATGAGAGTATATTCTTTTTATTAAATTATCAATCATTGTCAGAAATTTATTAAGAAACACTTTTTTCTTTACAGAAATATCTACAAATGTTAATTATTATTATGTAAAAATTTTTCAACTATATTCTTTGCTTATCACAAAACTATTAGTAAATTAAGATTATTATATAATACTTAAAATAATCAAATGCTACATACAGGACTTCCAAACAAATGGTATCTTAAATTTCTGACATTTGAAAATAAATCTGAATGACTTATAAACAGATTCTTCTAATACAAAAATAACATTTTTTATATTTATTTATTGATGAATTATTTATTGATATTGTTTTTGGTAAATGAGAATTATAAAATTACTAAATAATGTATATAATTAAGTTATTATTTAGTAAATTTTTATTGTATTATCTGTTATAATTATATCTTATTAATATTCTAAAGTTGTTGTTAAAGTTTGTAAAGATATAAAATTCAGATATTCCATAAATAAAACATACACAGGCAATTTCAAATATATCATGAATAATGAACTTTAATGTTACAGAGAATGAGGAAGAAAAAATTTAAGATTTTATACATGAATAAATTCATCATATATGCATGTACTGTACATTGATATTAAACAGAGTGCATATTTTTCTATAATAAAAATTCAGAAATATAAAATTTAAATCTGTTATACCATAACACACAAACATACAATGAGTAAGCAATTATATATGTCAGAATATAATATAATAAAAATATATTGCTATAACAGAATATAAATTGCATAACATACATCTGAATACATACACTTAATAGAGAGGTTGAGGCGCACGTTTTAAATGTGTAAACGTGTACGTGTGACGTTCGGCGCCGCTTTCCCGTAAGCCTAAAAGTGTGACGATGGTGTTTGGAATGTCGAGCGTGATTCAACCGACTATCCAAACACCATTGTCAAACTTTTAGGCTTACGGGAAAGCGGCGCCGAACGTCACACGTACACGTTTACACGTTTAAAACGTGCGCCTCAACCTCTCTAATTTTTTTATCAGTATGTAAAAAATGAGATATTTTGAATTTTTAAATAAATAACAATAAAGTAGGCCAATTTTCAATAAGGATTGGACTGAATGCAGCCTGCATGCTACCAATTGATATAATTTTGAAAGAATAATAATAATTTCAATTATTTAATTTATTGTCAGATTTTAGAGGCTACCCTTGAATAATATAATGGGATTATTAAAGAATAAAGATAAATTTTATTAATTTCAACCTTTTTGAAGTTCTTTGAAGTATTATATTCAGCTTATACATGTTATAAAACACTTGTAAATACAAAAAATAGAAACATTCACTAAGAAAAATTTTATTGTAATATAAAAAGTTTTGTATTGTGTATAAAATAAGGATTTATAGTTTTTTTTTATATTTAGTCATTTCTTGGATTTAGCAACAAACACTGGACCAAAGACTTTGTTCACTTATCTCAGATATTATTTAAAACTAGCTGCAAGGACACGCTTCGCTGGGTTTTTATTTGTATGTAATATAGTGTTTTTTTCTATATAAAAAACTGTTTTTCTAAGTAATCTAGAATCTAGCTGCAAGGACCCGCTTCGCTGGGCAAAAAGTTACAATAGTGAAGATTAAGATAATTACATTATAGCCAATCTTACCCGTTTTCACAGAATGCAAGAATTAGATCCCCCGTTTCCAGACTAATTAGAGAATTTTTACGTCCAGTCAAACGAACTATTTTCAGCATTTCTGGAACGTTTACAATCGTTCTATAATCGAACCAATATTCGAATTTTATGTTTGAATTAAATTCGAACATAACATTTGAAATAGAAAACCACTTTCAACCACTTTCAGCCCCATATCTCCCACACCCTTATAGCTATCGAGACACAACCACCATAGTGCATGAATGGAGACTTGGGGCTACTACCACATACAAACACCATTCACGTGCAATGTGTAGTTTTGGCGGAAAAGTGAAATATAGGGACATAC